AGGTTTAGGGTGTGATATGGGACAGGGCCTTGCACTTGACCTGCAGAGTTTAGCTCCAACCCTAATCAAATACACCTGAAGCAGCTTATCAAGGTCTTACTAGGCATACTAGAAACTTCCCAGCAGGTATCTTGAGGCAAGCTGGAGCTAAACTCTGCAGGACAACGGCCCTCCAGGACCGAGTTTGGGCACCCCTGTTATAGAGGTTATAATTTGAGTTAATCCTACATTGATTCTGAAAGGTAATGACCACGGAAATGGATCATTAGGTCCATGTCTGCAATTTTTTTTATTGAACGGGGGTTGCATCCTGTTTCAAATCAGACAGTAAAGTAGATCAGGCCCTAGTCATTCCCAATTATTATTTTTGGCGATTTTGTGTGTGTGTGTGTGTGTGTGTGTGTGTGCCAGCTTGCATGTTCTTCACCCTGTGGTTTTGCATGACTCACTATAGTTGTGTGTGTGTCAAACACATTTTTAACCACTTTGAGACACTTTAATATCTGTTTACATGAGAACCCAGAATTAATTCCTGTTTTACACCTTGCTGTAGTGTGAGGGTGGAGTGTTAAAGCGCTCAATGAAGTGGAGCTGTTTGATCAGTGAGGTCAAGAGAGACAACATGTCATTGTTTGTTTGACGTGGAGAGCACATATAACTTCTGTCTAATCAGATAGCTTAATGTAATGTAAACAAAATCTCTATGTGTTCTACCACACTTCATCATATGATCATTTTGAAAAGGTTTTGATGACGTTTTATGACTGAAACTGTCTGTCTCGCTTCTTCTTTCTCATTACATCATCTATCTTTAGAAATGACAATTGCTTACTGACTAGTGGATTTTAAATATATGCTACAGATTGGTGGAGAGAATGCGGGCGTGATAAAACGAAAGTTATGAGTTTAAACACTGGCAACTTAAAAGTGTGTGCGTGATAGCCCAGGTTAAAATAGGATTGACTTCAGATGCCCTGTTCTGACGTTTTCCCTCAGGTTTTAGATCTGCTGAATATGCAAAATGGTTCCATAAATGTCATTCCTTATGTCTCTTTCTTTAGTGCTAAACTTTAACCCTTTCCTATACCAACTGTATGTGTGTGTGTGTGTATGTGTATGTTAGACCGGCTTAATGTGTTTATGTAGTATGTTAGACTAGTTTAAGTGTTTATGTAGTTAATAAAACCTTACTTGTATCACACTTGACGTGTTCATTGTTTACTCATAACCGGAGTCAATAATCATGCAGATTTACGTTACAAACTTATAGAATTGTACAGTAAGAAAGTTATTTCCTTTAACCAGGAAATTAACGTTCTTAGAATTGACAAGACGGTTGACCCTGAGTGGTCAGCTAAATATCTACAGTGGATCTAAAATATTAATAATTAATCATAATTAGTTATGGTTAATTATTCATATTTCCCCATGAGTTAAATTCGCTACATATAGCATACATGTATCTTGTAAATTCTTGAAACTGATCATAAAATTTGTATCATAAAGTGATGAACTAGAAGAAGCCAAAGCTGAATTATAACATTTATGAGGGGGTAGTTCTCTGCTAGTGCTTCCTTGTATAGTTTATGAGGTGCCATGCCCGAATGGTGAATAAACAGAAAATGTTGCACCGAATGAACAGATAAAGAGGGAGGAGTAGCATCTTTTAATTCTGTCATAGCTATTTGTGTTCACAACAGTGACTATGTGAAAATATTATTTGGCATTGTAGGGGAATTTACAGTTAAAACCCAAACATCAGGTGTTGAAATGAAGACCAGGAGTCAGAGATGCAATCAATTGAAGAAAAATTTATTGAAGAAAATAGTTTGCAGTTTCATCAGCAGAAGTCAGCTTCAATACTCACGATGGAGTTCGTAGGCCGCTCTGCTTACATGCTCGAAACACCAGTAATTATACTCTAACAGAGGTCACTGATTACGTCAGTACATAGGTAAGCAAGATTCTGGTTGGTCGAAACATAGATAAAATCTCCACACATGGACGTAAAACTTGAAGCATATCTTCTAGTGATTATTTTGGTGACAAGTGATCAGAGGTCAGATGCAATAGGTCTTTCCAGAGACGTATATTAGATACCCTGGATATCAGAGTGATGGCAAATGACGTTTTCGTCCTAGGGCTGTCTCCGCATCTAGCTGCAAAGACAAACACTCTCACACATACGCAGAGAACATTTCTGTACTTCAAGGTTGCCGGGCTCTGCCCTGAATCTTAACAAATATGGTTCATTGCACACACACAAAGAGAGCAGCTTCTTAGAGAGTAAAAATACAGAATAAAACAGGATTCTTTAATATCTATATTATGCAGATACATCAATATCACAGCTGACATAAGATAACATGGGCCTCTGAGGCCTCTTCTTTACATGAGAGTGCAGTAATTCAGCTCTGTTCTAGAGCTCCTCTCAGTGTCAGACCATCACAAGAGGAGCCTAATTAGACTGACTGATTTATTTGTACCATGCCAATTTATTTGCAAAGCCCATATTTATGTTGTAAATCTGCATGCCTGTCAAAGATGTCACCAATGATTGATTTAGTTTGGTATCCGTTCTAATTAAAACATTTGATAGATAATAAGCTTAGCAGACCATTAATATTGATAAGTGAGGAATAATACAGAATTAAGCCATTTTTTATTGGCCTAAGTAGCTTAACAACAAAAAATGGAATAATGCCAAGGAAGAAAATGAAGAAATCTTAGGAGGAACCAAAACTCTGCTGTGGAGGTCTTCATCCTCAGGCTGGTACATCCTTATTGTCTTGAGTGTTTCTTTGGCAGTCTGCATATGTTTTCATGCGTGCTGTTTCCATTACGCTGTGGTGTCTAAACAAACAGATTTCCAGAATCCAGATCATGTGTTTTGGCAGTCAAGTTACTGACAGGTCAAAGAACCAATCAGATAACAGTCTTTAACTGATAGCTCTGTTGGCAAATTAGTGAGAGGAGTAGAGCTACAGTGGAGCAGCCATCGGCCCAGAAGTAGTTTGTAGAAGTACTAATGACTAGTCTTTTTTATATATATACAGTATATATAAGACAGTAATATTGTAAAACAGTGATGAAAAACAAACTGTACAACATTTGAAAAAAAAATATTGTTGAAAATACTGTAAGACTGTGTACATCAGTGTGTGAAAAGAAACATTTCCTGTTAAAGAAACAGATGCAGTATGTCTTTTTTTTTGTCTTTTTAATTTAATGGTTGTACTTTCCTTACTCTTGAATATACACTACCATCTAAGCTTGGAATGATTGAGATTTCTTTTAGACAAATTAATGTCACAAAAAAAACCCCACAAAACATTAAGAAGCATGACTATTTTCAACATTGATAATAATAAGATAATAATGTTTCTTGAACAACAAATCAGCATATTAGAATTTCTGAAGGATCATGTGACACTGAGTAATGGCTGCTGAAAATTCAGCTTTGTCAGCATAAATAGCTTATCAAAATAAATTAAAATAAAAAACAATTCTTTTAAATAATAATCATATTTTCAACCAGTATTACTGTTTTTACTATATTTGTCATCAAATGAATGAAGCTGTTGTTCTCATAAGAGACTTCATAAGTTCTTACTAAATGTATTTATTTATTTTTACAGAATTGGTTTAAAAAAAGAACAAATAATCATTTTATTTCTAAAATGAGGCCTGAAAGCTACTCACATGTATCATTTAATGGCAGAAGTATGCTAGTTTTACGCTATTCCAATGTCTATCCTTCAAGAATACCAGTGTTTCCTAACCTTTTTACTTAGCAAGTGCTGCGCGGTATGACCAAAAATTTATATCACGGTATTTTTCAAAATTATACCGGTTTCACGGTACATGACGGTATTTTTTTTTCATGCATGACCGGGTGTTAACCATATTTTCTACTGATTGAGAGAGGAAATACTGCAGTATATTGACTTAGAATTAAAAATAAAAAGGTGAATGTGATATTAAGAGACGACCTATGCTCATATTTATAATTCCAAACAATCAGTAAGCGACAGGTGCTAGGAAACGCTGTTTTGTACTCATTTATTGACGAGTCGGCTGCGGTGCGGCCAATTGAAAGCGCTGCTTCTCTGCCGCTCACTGCACAGAACAGACGCAGAGAGAGGTGACACTGCTCCGGGAAAGTCAGACCTCACGTTCGCGGGACAGCCCAGGATCAGGAAACAGTCCTCCATAAAATGTGCTGCACACATCTGAATATTTGGGTTGAACTGTTCTGGAACAGTGTTGTAAATACAACTTAACCACTGATTTCTAGTTGTGTCCATTTTTGGAAGACCAAACAATGTAGTTTCGCTTTCACAACGAAATATACAGTGTCACACACGGCGGGTTTGAGTGAGCGGCGGCCGGCGGGCTTGCGGAAACCACATGTGACGACCCTAAACCTTTTTCAACAGCATATTTCATTGAATCTAAAATATAATTCAAATGAAAAACAAATACAAACAATGTTTTAAAAAAATTGAATAAAATATTTTTTTATTAATTCTTATTACTTACTGAAAACTACTAAACATTTAGGAATGGGCAAAACCTCACCACTGTAAAGGAGAGGGTGCTTTTCATGGAAAGCCAAAATCATAAAATTTGGTTAATCGCCCAGTCCTACCACAAACTGCTTTTCATTTAGGTCAAACGGCTCAGCATCTGGTTTATCAGACCAAAAAACTGTTGCTCAAAGTCTATTGTGCAGATAGAGGAAGTGGTTGCGTTGGTGGCATCTCACAAAAGGCAGAACTGTGCGAAATTGTGCTACTGTTAACATGCACAGCATTTCCAGGGGTAACCATGCTGGCAGAATGATTTAGCTGTTATGCCTAATTGCTTTCACTTATCTGTTTTCGTTGACTTTTTATTGGCATGTAAAAGAGGATGTTTGTAAACTGAATTATGCGAATTCCATATTATGTTGAAAAGACTGAATATATATTCATATTCTCTCTTCTTCTTTCACCTTTTTAGGAGAGAAATCATCTCGTGATGAGCAGGTAGCTTGTGCCATGTTGGCTACACAGCTGGATAACTTCCTGGGTGGAGATCCGGTCCAGCACAGGCAAGTTCAAGGCTACGAGTCCCCAGAGTTCATGAACCTCTTCCCCCGAGGTGTCAGCTATAAGGTGAGATGTGGGATAATGTGAACACACACAGCCACACAGGAAAAATGGTATAAAGCTGTCACTGGGGTGGTACCCTAAAGTAAAAAAGCTACATTTTTTACCTTATTTACCCTTAAAAGGTACATATTATTGTCTTAAATGTAAACTTAAAGCGTACCATTTAAAAGGGTACCGCCCCAATGACAGTTTCTGAGAGTGCACATGTATACAAACAGACTTGATATAAAAATAAACTGATCGTTACAGTTGTACTGTATGCAGAATTCAATTAAAGAGCGCTTTTATTTGCATAGTCACACTCTTTTGTTTCTGCAGGAGGGAGGTGTGGAGTCTGGCTTCAGAAAATCACAGTCCGGATCTGGACCCGTTCAGAGATTATACCAAATCAAAGGGAAGCGTAACATAAGAGCCAAAGAAGTGGATTTGAGCTGGCAGAGCTTTAACAAAGGAGACTGCTTTATACTTGACCTGGGCGAGGTCTGTCTATTTAAAATTTTGGGGTCAGATATTTTTTTAAAGAAATTATTACTTTTATTCAGCAAGAATGCATTAAACTGATCAAAAGTGACAGTAAAGACATTTATAATGCTATAAAATGTTTCTATTTTAAATACTGATCTTTTGAATTTTCTATTCATCAGTGTCCTATAAATGAGTACAGTGTTTTCAACACTGATGATGATAATTAGTTGATGATTATGTTTCTTGAGCCACCAAATCAACATATTAGAAGGATTTCTGAAGGATCATGTGACACTGAAGACTGGAGTAATGGCTGCTGAATGAAAAAAATGCCGTTTTGCCTTAGCTAGAATAAATATTAAATTATAAAACAGTTATTTTAAATTTTAATATTTTACAGTCTTACTGTTTTTACTATATTTTGGATCAAATAAGAAAGTATTTGGATGCTGGAACCACACAAAAATGCTTTACATTGTACAACAACATGTCAAATCATGTAGCATTTATTTGAAATGAACATCTTATTCTGCAGACGATTGTGTCATGGATAGGATCTCAGGCAAACATCTTTGAGAAGCAGAAGGTGAGGGAGATCGCCACTCTGATCAGAGACACAGACAGACACGGCAAAGCCCAGATCACTAACATCAATGAGGGAGACGAGACACAGGAAATGCTACAGGTAACAACATGCCAAAACACTTATTGTTGAACTCTGCCCTTCATTGATTCTTTAGCTTTACAGTTCTCTAGAATCCTAGTTCAATCCCTGGTTGAAAAGTCTGACATCTCCTGTCACAGTTTCCTTGTGTAAAAATTCCCTCAGTACCTATAAGTAAACAACAAATGGTGCTAAAGTACTAAAATACATTTGGTAGACTAGCAAAAAAATCACGTTTCTAACCTCTATCTCCATACCAAAATCCAAAATCCATACCATGTTCCAGACAGTGATTCATCTTTTCTGAATCATTAAAATATTGGTGGCCGGAGACTGTAGAGTTTTTAAAATCTCAGCTTAAAAGTGTGCTATAAATATAAAAGGCTCATAAAGTCTGTTGAAATGAAGTAGAGGTTTAGACCTGGAAGCAATGTCATCAGAAAGTTACGTTTTTTTTGCAGTCAAATAAAGTCTCTTTCTTCTGCTACAATAAAAAGGTACTTGGTGCAATGCCAGAGCTGAAAGAAAGCACTCCAGAGGAGGACAGCCAAGCAGATGCATCCAATTCTGCCTCCCTCTACAAGGTACCACAACTAGCCTTGTATATATTAATCTAAATTGTGGAGGATTACATGTGTATTTTGATGTTAGGTATCTCACCCAGACCTATTATGCACATCTATTTATCTGATCCAAAATTCCTAAAAAGTATTATATACCTTGTCATTCCATTTCACGGGCATTCAATATGTAAAAATGGTAAATTCTTCATAGGTTTCAGATGCAACTGGGTCGATGAAGTTGACCAAGGTGTCAGAGAAAAGTCCATTTGCCAAGGACTTGCTGGTACGTGAGGACTGCTTTATCCTGGACAATGGGGCCAATGGAAAAATCTTTGTTTGGAAAGGTAAGACAAATTGTGTGTGTGTGTCATAATAACTTAGAATGCAGCTAAAATAATTTAGTTTGGCCTGTTTGTGTATCTTTTAAAGGGGTCATATGATGCGATTTCAATTTTTTCTTTCTCTTTGGAGTGTTACAAGCTCTTGGTGCATAAAGAAGATCTGTAAAGTTGCAAAGACTAAAGTCTCAAATCCAAAGAGATATTCTTTATAAAAGTTAAGATTCAACCACGCCTACCTAAAACGGCTCGTTCTAACACGCCCCCACATATCTACGTTACAATGTGGGAAGATTTGCATAACGCCACCCAAATGTTCACGCAAAGAAAGAAGGCGTAACTTTTATTTTTTTATATTTAAAGAATTTGCCACTGATGATTCAAACGCGAGTTTTAAGCAGTGTAGAATAGCACTTGTTGTTTGTCATTTCTCAGATCACAAATGCAGACGTGGTTTTATGTTTATGCGGCGCGATGCAACACAACGCGTAAAAAGACAGTATAAGTCATTATAATCAGTAATTATGTCCCCACTAGATGCAACAAATGCCTCGTTTATAATGGGTTTTAATGTTTTTGTCTCGTCGCTCCGGCCGGACAGGGCATCACGATATGGTGAGGGGCGTAACATTTCCGTCACACGCTTGAGGTATTCGACCAATCACAACGCACTGGAGAGATGGCCAATCAGAGCACACCTCGCTTTTCAGACCGATGAGTTTTGTAAAAATCAACACGTTTCAGAAAGGCGGGGCATAGAGGAGAAACAATAATGTACAGTATGTGGAAAATAATGTGTTTTTTAACCTTAAACCGCATAAACACATTTCATTACACCAAATACACAAAATAATGTTCTTTTTAGCAACATCATATGACCCCTTTAAGATATTAATACCTTTAATTCAGCAAAGATGCGTTCAATTGATTAAAAGTGACACAGTAAAGACTGCTCAATGCTGTTCATTGTTACAAAATAAATGCTGTTCTTTTTAACTTCATCAAAGAATCCCCCACAAATGTATCGCAGTTAAAAAAAAACATAAATAAAATAAAAAATAATAATGTTACAATGTTTCTTGAGCACCAATCAGAATATTATAATGATTTCTGAAGAATCATGTTACACTGAAGACTGAAGGAATGACTGCTGAAAATGTAGCTTTGCAATCACAGAAATAAATAGCATTTTATAATATATTACAATAGAAAACAGGTATTTTAAATATTTCACAATATTACTGCTTTTACTGTATTTTTATCAAATAAATGCAGCCTTGGTGAGCATAAGAGCCTTCTTTCAAAAAAAATAAAAACACTTTGGAATGTAGTGTACAATTTCATGTAAATATTTAACTGAAAATTAGGTGCTGACGGTGCTACCGGTGTTAAGCCGCAACACCGGTTACATCACTTGCCCACCGCGTCACCGACCCCCACCGTCATTTAGATTTTTTATAGTAATAAAAATCATTTAGTTCAGTAAAAGAACAGACACTACAATTAAAAACTGAACGCAGCTGCTCAATGCATTGTGCCGAACGACAGTCGCATCACAGATCAGATTATTTCTCCAGTGAGGAGAGTGAGTCGAGCTGACTGACAAGAAGAGTGAGGTGAGACAGACAAAACGATCGCGGATGATTTAGTTTCGAAACGAAATGCAAAAGCGATTGTTTGGCAATATTTTGGATTTTGAAAAGCCTGTTGACTTTTGCTGTTTATCTGATTTTGGAAGTTTTTTTTAAACATTCTTTTATTTAATTGGTTCCACATTGTTTGCTGATTTTTACTTTATTTAAACTTTGTGTCATTTAGTTATTTTATTTGACATCAAGGTGTATGCCGTGCCTCCAAGCTTTCTTACTCGTTTTGCTAATAAACCTTCTACTTTCTTATTTATTTGGTTATATATTTTACATTTTTGATTATTTCCAGTTTTGTATACCTATTTAAACTTTATGTAAGTTATTTGTTATTTTATATTAGGCATAGCCTGCCCTATAGCATAGTGTATTTTTATTTGTTTTGTTAATAAAAGTTGTATGTTTTATATATACGCTAAAGTGAGTTTGACGTTGTATTTTTTTGTTGCGTTCAAGCAATTGATGTCGAATTGCCGCTAATTCGAAAGTGAAAGTAAAATGCGCACTGCGCTTTGTCACACGTCGATTAACCAGTGGGAAAATTTCCTCACCATCACAACCCTACTGAAAATAAGTTGTTGCTAAAACATTGTAAAATATTTTTTTTCTTTCCTTGTCAGGAAGTGGAGCCAATGCAGAAGAGAAGAGGGCTGCTCTGAAAATGGCAGATGACTTCATTCAGCAAATGAATTACCCCAAGATGAAAACACAGGTCAGCTAATGTTGTTGTGTTTGGCTTAGTTTGGCTGCTCAAACAAACAGATTTTTAGTTTTGTTTGGTTATGTGAGTTATGTGCACATCAAATTCTTATTATAATGAGGGTGAGGGAGTTACAATTAGATTTACAATATCTATGTTCTAACATCATGCAGCAAGCAATCTTGCAGTGGTCTACAAAAGTACTCTGTGGTTTGCTATTCTATGTTCATCGTCTTTGTTCAGTCTTTTGAGGCATTATGCAAAAGAATTCAAAATCTTGACTTTATAACATGACCCCTCACCCATAAATCTGTAATCTATAAAATATTTTTGTCTTACAGGTGGAGATTTTACCACAGGGCAGAGAGACCGTTATCTTCAAACAGTTCTTCCAAAACTGGAATTAAACCGCATCTCACTGCATGATGATCGGAGAATAAACTGCACTCAACCAGCTGTCAAAAGACTGTCATTTACTTCAAGTTGCTACATTATAAACAAATGTACAGTTTTATTAAATAAGATCAACTTTTATTCATGGAGGGTTGCAGCAATAATACATATGAGTGAGAGAGGCTTTACTATTTGTCTGTTACCATATTTTTATGATTTTAAACGGTGTTTATATTGATTAAAACAAATTTTGAATAACTTGTAATTATTTCCCCCTAATTTTATTTAGAAATTAAAACTATGTTGCAACCTTGATAACCACAAAACCCATACCACTTCTACTTAAAAACAGAATAATGCTACTAACCATTTTTCAAGTCAACCCGCAATTTCACAAGACTGCTTTTTTCTTTATTTCTTCTTTTTTTTAACTCATTTTGTGTATGTAATTGGAGCATGGCAATAAAAAGCATATGCAAAAACTGCAGAGAGTTCTGGGATTATTTTGTAGATCAGATGTGCAGTCCTGCTAATGCCCTGGAGTTCCCCTTTAGACAGGCAAGATAACATGACACAGAAGTTACGGCGGTTAAGGGTCATGTGCAGTCTATCAGGGCATGTTACCATAGATTACATAAACTCATACATTTACAGTTAATCAATTACAGGCCTCGCAAAATATGTCCTGTTGATATTGTGTTTTCCAGTCAGCCTACCAAAATGCATCACCGCCCTGACGACTATCGTGAATAGTGATATAAAATTCCTTCCTTGATTCACAACTGTTCACTCGCTTCTAGAAGTAAACCGGATCGTAGTTGATCATTTGCACATGTTTTTAAGTCTTGCCAATTTAAACATTCAAGCGTTTTAAACCGCTTTCAAACGCATGAAGAGACGAAAGTGCAATTCGGATGCACACATTTTTATCACTGAGGTGCCATGTAAATTTATTTTTACAGATGTCCACATGCTAAAAAGTTTGTTTTTTGAAAGATTCATGAATTAAAAGATGGAAAATATCCATTGCCATCTCATCCTAATGTCATTTGAGGGTGTGAAAACACTGTTACTAGGATAAAGTTCATGCCATCAGCTGCCGTATCTTGAGCAGATAATCAGCATTTCCCCCGAAAAGGTCAAACATGTGATTTACACAACATGCCATTATCATTAGCCTACATTTTTTTTGGCTGTGATTATATAGCCTAGGTACTTGCTAGGGAACAAACAACATTGAGAAATTAATGAAATGCATGAACTTCTGGGTCATTCCTGGGATTCAGTAATGTTTCAGTCCCCCAGACTTTATACAGTCATGGTTCACCAAAACGAAGTGTTAAAAACATTTCGATATACTTTGATATGCCCCTTATAATGACTAAAAATAAATGTTGCATTTAGTTAATTTTAATGTTCCTGTGGCTCAGTGGTAGAGCATTGCGTTGGTAACAGACAAATAGTAAAGCCTCTCTCATTTAAAAATTAACATTAGTTAATTTTAATGTTCCTGTGGCTCAGTGGTAGAGCATTGCGTTAGCAGCACAAAGGCCATGGGTTCAGTTCCCAGGCAACATACATACTTATAAAAAATGTATAGTAATGTAAAAAATGCTGACTGCACTGTAAGTTGCTTTGGATAAAAGCATTGCTAAATGCATGTCTGAAATTTAATAATTTTTAGCATAAAATAATGTCTTTAGCATTTTGTCACCTCCCTGAGACACTTCACTTAGTTTGTACGTAGAAAATTATTAACTAAATGTGCACAGAGTCTATAATTTTTGGCAATAATGTAAACATTTATTTGCGTTCTTTTCTTCTGAAAAATATATATTTTTTAAAATGCAAGATATTTGATAAAAAACAGACTTTAAATTTATGTCCCTCAGTCTGAATTCAGCCCTGTCCATTCTACGCCCATAATAGACTCCACCCATATATGACATCATTTACCAGAAATGACATCATTCAGGTCTCTTTAATATCCTATATTAATATCATACTTTCTTATATATGAATCCATAAATATAAAATGTACTTATTTTATTGTTGCTATGTATGGTCTACATGAGGAGCAGTGGCCATTCTGAGTGAAGAAGCACAACCCCGTCAAACTCAAACTTAGTATATGTATTTTTCATTGTTACGGGGTTGTAAACTTGTGACAGGGTTGAGTTATTTGTTTCATTTATTAAAAAATGGATAAAAAAATAGTCATGGTTTCAGTACATTAAAAAAACATCTCATATCCCCAAAGACAAGTATTTTTGATGCATTATTTGATGTAATATGTCCACTTAAACTTTGACAAGCATCATACTTCAGAAATTGCACCCACATTAGCAGCAGAAAGTCAATGTTGGCCATGCAGATATACAGACCCAGAAAGACGTGAACAATATGAGAGAGAAACAAAACTGAAAATGAAAATTTAAGGCAATATATCCCTTCAAATGTGTTACCGTCTTCAACCCCATCACACCATGTCAAATTAATATTTTTGGAAAAAAATAGGGAAGACAATTAAGTATGAAAGCATTTCTTGCTGATTACCATCTTACATCTAAATTATCATTATTATTATTATTATTATTTGTTTTTTACAAAAACAAAGAGACCATAAACACGCAATTTCTCCATTTTTAACTTCAGTCCTATAAAAATTAGAAAATTATGATAAATTTGACATTTTTTTGCCATAAAATTGTTATTAGAGACACACAAGCAGTAAGTAGATGTTTGCTTTATAACAAGTTCTGTGTAAAATCCATTTTAAACCAATCCCATTTTGGGGCTGAGAATAAATGGTGTCTAAATCTGAAAAACTCTTAAAATAATATAAGGCCTTTAATGCTTGAGGTGGGAAAATATGTTTTTTTTAGAGGTTTGATATGTTCATAATGATGTGGGGTATTTAGGAAATTAATCATATGTAGTTGAAAAAATTTATATTCCAAATTGAAATGTTATCGAATCCCAAGAATAACCCTTCTTTTATTGGCTTTTCGAAAATTTAAGGTAAGAAAAAATAGATCAGTTTACTGGATCAAATGATCATACTTCTTTAATAATCATTTTCTTGTGAACTCTTTTCACATGTGGACAGCATTCATTCTTTGATAGTTACATAACCTATTTACTGTCATATAACAATCCATGTTTTATATCTACTGGCTTATAAAATCATGCAGAGGAAGGATGCTTGTGCAAATGTGAGCTCTTTTGAGTAGTATGCAAAAGGTTATATAAAGTTTACTAAATATTAAAAACTGACGAACAACACATACAGTCTTTTAGTGAGTGTTCAGTGAATCAGTAAATGCACATGTGGCATGATAGTTCATGCATGATATGCAGTGTGTGAGTATGTTCACTATCTTCCCTTTTGGCATCGTGTCATGTTGACTATACTCACTGAATCACTGCTGGGAAAGACCATATCTCATCACATAGCTTTTCTGGCCTCCACCTCATACAATCATGACAGTAATAATTCAGGTCCAAAGTTCAGATTATGCAGACGATGAGCTAAAACAGGGGCTGAGAGAGCACCAACGTTCAGTTTCACCAGACACCCTCAGCGCTCACTTGCTTCCCCGACACTTCATCATGGGTAAGTTTGATTTGAGTCTCATGCATAGCTTTTATCATGATGCCAATTACAAGGTGCCATTACTAAGAAATTCATATTATTGTTAACTGCTTTGATAGAAGTATTATGATTATTATTACATTTATGCATTTGGCAAGCCCATGATGTTATCAACAGGAATAATTATAATGATTATTGTTAATGTTATTATTATTATTTTGGCCTAGTGATTTTTTTGTGTGTAATTTTTAATAATAAGTTAATATGTTATTTTATATTTACATTAATTTACATTAACAATATAAATACATCCCTCTAAAAAAGTTATAACTTAAAAAATATATATCTCTTGTATAGGTGAGCAGGCAAACACTCTGAAGAGCATCCTGAAGGACAACAGTATGGCACTAAAAAGTATGTGCATGCTTGTGTTTCTGTTTAACTGTAACACATTACATTCATTTCAAAGTGGAAGCATAGTCAGATGAAACTAACTGAGTAAGAATCCTTTCTTTTCCTTTACCCCAGTGCCCCAGAAGCAGAGTAACTCTGTTGGGGTTGTGCGCTGGACACTATCAGAGAAAGATATTCAGGTCTACAGTTCTGCACCCACCAGCCCCTTCAAGAACAGTAGTGGGTTTTCTACCCGTTCACAGGTAATACTAACTCACAGATGGATGTTATGGTAGATCAATGTTCGGCCATGATCACAATATTTTGTGTTGGTTTCCAGCAAAGGCAACGTCAGCAAAGCCTGAATGATCTCCGGAGTTTGGATGAGTGCATCAGATTCATAAACCACTGGAAGCAACAGGTGGCACAAGTTTGCAAGGTAGGCCATGGATTATTTTAAATATATAATATAATATATATATTTTACCAGTAATACTGGTAAATCATATATATATATATATATATATATACAGGGTTAAATCGGGATTTGTTATGTGGGGGGGCTCTATGGTATCGAGCTTATATATATGTGTGTGAGTGTGTGTGTTTATTATAATATTTTTTTTGCAAATATGATTTATTCTGAAGCAGTATTCTCATTTTATTCAATATTTATATATTCAATATGTTATCTAAGGATTTTTTTTTTTTTTTACCTTTATAGAGGGCATTTTCCACTAATATCATTAATACTTTCCGGGATTTGTTATGTGGGGGGGCTCTATGGTATCGAGCTTATATATATGTGTGTGAGTGTGTGTTTATTATTATATATTTTTTGCAAATATGATTTATTCTGAAGCAGTATTCTCATTTTATTCAATATTTATATATTCAATATGTTATCCAAGGACTTTTTTTTTTTTACCTTTATAGAGGGCATTTTCCACTAATCTCATTAATACTTTCATTTCAAATTCTTACATTTGATCTATAAATTCAATTATAAAAATGTGATTATCTATACATTATCAAATTAAATCACTTACACTGAAAAATACAACTGCATTAAATAATATTATGAGATTCTTTTAAATATTTTTGAATATACAAACAAGAAATTATGGTGGAAATGATACTTTTCAACGAAATTAAAACACCAGTGCCAGCAGTGTTTAACGAGTGAGTCATTGAGTCGTTCATTCAAACGATTCGTTCAAACGGCAGATTCATCAGATGTTTATGCATGGACTAATGAAACTTTGACTCAACCGATTCGTTCAAAACACGGAATCAATCAGCAATGAAATCTGCTGGTTGCTGTTAGATGTGCTGTGTTTCCGCCTAGAATGTAAGTGACCTTAATATTATTGTATTTGCTTATTGAACTGTTTATAGAACGATTAAACAGTCGTAATGGTGAAAACGTTGTTTGATGTTGCCTAACTAACTGCATTTTAAATATAAAAACTGTCCATTTGGAATTTTTACCTC